AGACTAATCTCCCAGTTTAAGCTTCTAGGGTTAAGCTTATTTATAAAAAAAATTCAAACATATTGATATCATACTTTAATACTCCCGCACTTTAATACTACTTTGAACATTTTGATAAATTATTTCAATTTTTAGACCAGTTAGTAAATGGCAGTTACTTGTTGAGATATTCGAGTTGGTTATGGTGGATCTCATTAATATCCAACATTCATACTTGATAATATTGCAATAAATTAAATATATTAATTTTTAGTTATAGTAAAGCACAATTAAACAATGTGAAAAGTGAAAGTTAGCCAAAGACAACGTTAATCAATGTCACCTCTTTATAATGTAATAATATACAATTACATCAAATGACTTGATACTTTTTGCTTAATTACACAAACAACTGTAATGTTTTAGAATTTAGATTATTTATATAGCCTTAAACTAATCTCAATATTAAATTTGGCTTTTCAATCAATTGTAGCTGTATAATTAGCTTTGCCAGATATACAGGAATGACCTGTATTATACAGGAATTAAGAAATATTGCAGAGTACAGGGAGGTGTCATTCCTGTACATTGACAATGACAAATACAGGAATACATATTTTAACAATAAACTATAAAAGTATAATAATATTCAGATTTGTAAATAATAATAGTCATGCACACTCACAATCTGAACTAATGCTAGAAATAAAAATTAATTAAACATAATTAACTACATTGTAATTACATATAAACTAAATATAAATACATTGTAAAAGCACTCGAATTTTTGCAAAAGTATAATTCTTTGGAAATTGTATGAATTTAAAGTTTTGCTTTACAAACAATAAAATACAGGTAAATACAGGAATTTTTGGTAAAATTTGCACAATTATACAGGAAATCCAAAATATTTTCTGGCAACGCTACGTATAATCCTCTAAACCTACAATCCTGGAAAGATTGTACACGTGAATTAAAACAATGCTATCTAATTATCTAATATTATGCACTTTTACTAAAATATTTTTCAATTATTATTATGAATTAAGACTTGTTTAAAATTGAAATTGTATCAGTTATTGCAAAACAGCTGTAAATTAAATATTACAATAGATTTTTAATAAACTTTTTGCTACCAAATATAAAAGTAGGTTTGGTAACAAAAAGTTATTCTTTTTAAAGATAATTATTTACATAATTATTTTAATAAACTTTGATAACTAATTAAAAAAATTTAAATGACAAAGTATAACTTAATTAAGTATATATATTGGTTAGATACAAAATAAACAAAACAGTTTTAACCAGTTGTAAGGCACAATATTTTATAAGAGAAATATGTGAATTTAACTTAAATGAATATTTTATTAAGTTTGTAATCAAATATACAAATTACTGTAAATTATAAATTTTAATATTACACAACTGTAATGTTTAATAATTTCTAGTATTTATATAATACTAAACGAATTGTAAGTTTTAATTGGGGACATAAAAAAGCGCCGATTTACCAAATGATTATTTAAAACTTAGTTTTTTAAAATTTTATGATTTTATGAAATTAACTATTTTAACCACTATTTTGATATGAACAATGTGGTTTATAGGATTGTTCGGTTCTTCTTTTGTGTCTGCCTAGATTATAATATATTATGTTAATTTGAAACATTATAAAGTAATTCTTAAAACTGTAGATAAACAATAATATATATTTAAATATTATTATTTTAATTTTTACTATTGACTTTTGGAGTTATTAAAAATATGTAATATTTCATTTATTAAGGCATTAACAATTTAACATAATAGCCCAGCATGGGTATGAGCGGGTAAATGAATGTATTTTAAGGTAACATACATTATATTGAATTGTAGTAACCTCATAATGAGAGGTAGACATATTTCAAGATTTATCCTATATTAAGTATGTAATTTAGTAAATATTTAATAATTTATGTATATTAAAAATCGCAAAGTTTTCAGTGTTTTAAGATTATTTATAAACGAAAAAGTCAATAACATTTTATTATACGTTTGCAGTTAATGAATATTTTAATAAATTATTTAAATTTTTAGACAGGATACATTTTGAGATATTTGAGTTTATTATCGTAGTACCATTAATATCCAACATTTATACTTGATAATTTTGAAATAAAATAAATACTTATAAGTTATACTGTAGTATAGCACAATTAAACAATGTGAAAAGTGAAAATTAGCCAAAGTCAAAGATAATCAATGTCACAACTTTATAATGTAACAATGTACTATTACATCAAATTACTTGATACTTTTTGTTCAATTACTTAAACAACTGTAATATTTTAAAATTTAGATCATTTATATAGCCTTAAATTAATCTCAATATAAATTGGACCGGCCAAACTTCCACTTTTATATTCAAAAAATTTTGTAAAATAAATTTTATTATTGCACTAAATATTTTTTATTATTTTATTTAAAATAAACATTTAATATTTATTATAACACACTAATATTTAATGAAAATTAGCCAACGTTTTGGTGAAATCCCAGGGCTGTTGTTCAAGTGAAGAACAGGTGCCGTCCACCCAACCCACCGGTTTGATACACTTTCTGTCCCTATTTAATGCCCAATAAGAAACTCGACCAAGGTGCTTTTGGTTGGCGTAATCAATTAGTTTGCGGAAAGTATCGATGGTATACAACTCCGACGGTTGGTCTGTGTGGCCGTTCATTAAGATAAGTCCAGTGGCGGCATAAACTTGTTGGTCGTTTAGGTCTTTTCGCAGTTCTTTGAGTTGTTTGTGAGTTTGTTCCATAACACTGATCATGCTATTCACCTGATCGGCACCGGGACCACCGTAGTCAAATGCCCTGTACATAATTAAAATAAATATATTGATAAATAAAATTTAGACGTAAGTTACTTGATGAATTACTAAATTAAAAAGCATACATTATTTTATACAGATCTATTTTAGCACCACGATCCACGCCCAGCTTAATTTCATCCCTACCCAAACCACTCAAAAAATATTTAAAAACTTTATACTTTTTGCATAATTACTTAAACAACTGTAATGTTTTAGAATTTATATGATTTATATATCCCTAAACTAATCTCAATATTAAATTTTGGACTTCAAAGGACGTAAAATAAATTTAATATTGATATAGTATTTTGTATTTATTTATATTAATAAAAAAAGTCAAACATATTGATCATATCATATGATATCATACTGTAATACTCCCGTAGTTGATGAACATTTTGATAAATTATTTAAATTTTTAGACAGGATATTGAATATAATACTTCTTGAAATATTCGAGTTTGTTATGGTAAATTCAATTAATATCCACCATTCATACTTGATAATTTTGCAATAATATAAATACCTATACGTTAAAGTAAAACATAGTTAAATAGTATAAAAAGTCAAAGTTAGCCAAAGTCAACGCTAATCAATGTCACCCTTTATAATGTAATAATGCAATATTACATCAATTTAGTTTATACTTTTTGCTTATTTAATTACTTTGCTTAATTTGCTTAATTTGCTTAATTGCTTAATTACTTAAACAACTGTAATGTGTTAGAATTTAGATCATTTATATAGATTTAAACTAATCTCAATAGTAAATTGGACGCGGTAAACATCGATGTTTTTATTCATAAAATATTAAATTTGTAAAATAAATTTTGTAATTGCACTAAATATTTATTATAATTAACTAATATTTAATGAAAGTTAGCCAATGTTTTTGTGAAATCCCAGGGCTGTTGTTCAAGCGAAGAACAGGAGCCGTCCACCCAACCCACCGGTTTGGTGCACTTCCTGTCCCTGTTTAATGCCCAATAAGAAACTCGACCAAGGTGCTTTTGATTGGCGTAATCAATAAGTTTGCGGAAAGTATCGATGGTATACAACTCCGATGGTTGGTCTGTGTGGCCGTTCATTAAGATGAGTCCAGTGGCGGCATAAACTTGTTGGTCGTTTAGGTCGGTTCGCAACTGTTTGAGCTGTTGATGAGTTTGTTCCATAACACTGATCACGCTATTCACCTGATCGGCACCGGGACCACCGTAGTCGAAAGCCCTGTACATAATTCAAATAAATATATAGATAAATAAAATTTAGACGTGAGTGACTTGATTAATTACTAAATTAAAAGCATACATTATTTTATACAGATCCATTTTAGCACCGAGATCCACGCCCAGCTTAATTTCATCCCTACCCAAACCACTCAGGCCTACGGTAGTTGAGGGTAGGGTTAGGGTCACAAACAGCTGTTTACCCTTTGACTTTGCAGTTTGTTGTAACACTTTAATGGCATTGAATCTCAAAGTTTCACCCTGCACATCGCCCAAGTTATCATGTTCTACGTCGAAGTCCACGTTCGTCAACGAGTACTTGTCTATCACGATCTGATATGCGTTGGCCAATGAATTGACGTCTTTGCACACATGAGCCAAATCAATACCATTATAGCCGCCGAACGAGATCGAGATATCACCCCCAGCGGCACGGATTGCCTGAACTTTCTTTAAAACCACTTGGTCGTCAGCGATCTAGCATAATAAACATATATTTTGATTTTAAAAATGTTTTAAAGCATACGACTATGTTGTGTTAGTAAATGTTTATGTTACATTTATTTACTTTTTCACAAGTTTATCATCATTCAGTTAGGCTGACCATAAAATTTTAGCCAAAGGGAGGACAAAATGAGAAAATCTCCAAATCTGGGGAGGACATGGGGAGGACGCTATGTTTTTGTGTATAAAATTATAGCTATACTATACCCATTGCTATATTATAGCACTTAATAGAAAATGAATGTTATTTAATCATTTGTATTGCAAATATTTAAATAATTCCTCCCCAGAGGCTCGGGAGGACGGTTCCAGAAATGGTCCAGGGGAGGACTGTCCTCCCGGGGGGAGGACGTTTGGTCACCCTACATTCAGTTAGCATAATAAAAGCTATAAAAATAGCATTAAATAGCGTTAAAAATTATTACATATCATCAAATTATTTTAAATAATATTAAATCGAGAATAGGCCAAATATAATTAAATAAAAAACTTGTATTTTAACATTAGCTATACTAATAAACTTGTTACAGTTTTTACTTTTAAATGTATTCAGAAGACAAGTTCTAAAATATAGCTATTAATCAATCATGTACCTTTTGATTGAGCTTTCCATCCCACGTGGGTATACACTGGCCGTCATCGCTGGCCAAAGCGAAGGCCAAAATGAATTGCTTGACTCCCGAGGCCTGAATCACTTTCGCCATATCAAAGTCCTGGCCGTTGTTATCGAGTGGCATATAATAGGGCGCCGCACGTATGCCCGCCCCTATGGCCACCGATATCATCGACACCACCACTAGTCCTACTTTCAGAGCAAACATGTTTCAGTTAAACCTATGAGAGAGACAATTGATTTAATCTTAATAAACACGGTTTATATATACGGTTAACTGTCCACCTGTGCCTCTGTGTCTGTGCTCGTGGGAATTGAGGCACATTTTATTCATATCCTATTTGTTATCTATTGTATGGTTTCAAAACATAGGTACAGATTTTACAACAACTTGTATTAAATTTAAACTCAAACAATCAAAACACTGCGAATACACATCATGTGAATTTATGACAAATCTTATTTAAAGTATAGTTTGGTTATAATTTACTCAAGATAATTGCTATGTATTTATTTAACTTAAGAAATACTTAGGGCATTTTAAAGATCATTAATAAATCAATTACTATTTGTGATAACTTAAGGTTTATATGACGTAAAATTGTATCAATACTCCCGAAATAATGCGGACTTTAATACTTTTCTATTTATATTTTTGTTCCTTTAATACTATCAAGTGTTTGGATCAAGATAATTAAAAATCAATATTATTATTCTTAGTTTATAACAATATAAAATTAATTCGACATAGAATTTTTAAATATATTTTATTAATACAATAGTTTGCAAATTCAATGGTGTTATATTTTAAAAAAATTTATCTAAAGTTTAAATACTTTAAACTACTTTAAATAAATAAGTATGAAATTTGTTATAAAACATATCAATTAATAGTGTAAAATTGAATTAAATGAATTTAGTTAAAATTAGTTATGTTTACTTATTTTACGTGAGTGCCCACTGGTTCAGAACCCAAAGTTATATCAATTTATGTATTAATATCTATACCAAATGAGTTTATATTTTGGGAATTAATTTAACAACTGTAATGTTTAATAATTCAGATTATTTATATAGCGTTAAACTAATCTTTATATTAAATTTGGATTAACCAGAACTTTTGAGTTTATTATTGAACTTGTAAATTTAGAAAAATAAATTTCAGTGTTTATTTTAAAATTGCATTTTATAAATTTATTATTATTTATTTATTATCATAATATTTTATATGCAACAAAAAATCTATTATTTACTATAATTAAATAGTATTGCTCTAATGAAAGTTAGCCAAAGTTTTGGTGAAATCCCAGGGCTGTTGTTCAAGTGAAGAACAGCTGCCGTCCACCCAACCCACCGGTTTGGTGCACTTCCTGTCCCTGTTTAGTGCCCAATAGGAAACTCGACCAAGGTGCTTTTGGTTCGCGTAATCAATGAGTTTGCGGAAAGTATCGATGGTATACAACTCCGATGGTTGGTCTGTGTGGCCGTTCATTAAGATGAGTCCAGTAGCTGCGTATACCTGTTGGTCGTTTAGGTCCTTTCGCAGCTCTTTGAGTTGTTTGTGAATTTGCTCCATAACACTGATCACGCTATTCACCTGATCGGCACCGGGACCACCGTAATCGAAAGCCCTGTACATAATTGAGGCAAAATAAGTTACATTTAATAAATATTAAGAATTAAGTGCTAATCATTTGTGCAAATGATGGTTAATGCTAATTTTAACAATTTTAACTTCAAACAATTACCAGAGTTTAACAATTTACTATTTATTTACTTACATAATTTTATACAGGTCCATTTTAGCACCGAGTTCCACTCCGCGTTTAATCTCATTCTTGCCCAAATCGCTCAGACCAACGGTAGTCGAGGGTAGGGTTAGGGTCACAAACAGTTGTTTGCCACTAGACTTTGCTTTTTGTTGTAACAGTTTGATGGCTTGGAATCGCCGAGTTTCACCCTGCACATCGCCCAAGTTATCATGTTCTACATCAAAGTCCACGTTCGTCAACGAGTACTTGTCGATCACGATCTGATAGGCGTTGGCCAATGAGTTGACGTCATGACACGCTTTGCCCAAATCGACGCCATTATAGCCGCCGAACGAGACCGAGACGTCGCCACCGGCGGCACGGATTGCCTTCACTTTGCCCAACACTACTGTGTCGTCGGCCACCTTTATTTTAAGAAAGTATTTTTGTAAAACTATTTTTATAATGATATATTGGTATGTAAAGAATCTAGCTGCATTTACTAATTTTGTGATAAGCATTTTAAAATATCGTTAGTGGTTTTCAAACACTAATGAAATAGTGTAACCTATGTATCCGCAAACTCTTCATGAAATCCTATTATGAGTTTTTCCCAACACGTTTTGCAAATAGGTTTTGTTTTTATACATTATTTATTATATTCTTATTAAATCTGTATTAAAATTGTGATTAGGTTTTATTTATAGAATATGTAAAGACTGCTTTATATAAAAATTGCTCTTGCTATCGTTCGATTTTTAAGATACATAGTATATTTATAAAATTGAACAGACGAACTACTTAATAAATAGTAGCTTGTTAAAAATTATGAAATATTGTCAAATTATTTCAAATTGTTTGTTATATAAGATCAAAATATGCGCGGATGGCCCAAATATAGTTAAATCAAAAATTTGTATTTTATCATTAGCTATACTAATAAATTTATGACAGTTTTGAACCTCAAATGTACCTAATTGTAAAATATAACTTAATTAATCGTGTACCTTTTGATTGAGCTTTCCGTCCCACGTGGGTATACACTGGCCGTCATCGCTGGCCAAAGCAAAGGCCAAAATGAATTGCTTGACACCCGAGGCCTGAATCACTTTCGCCATATCAAAGTCCTGGCCGTTGTTGTCGAGTGGCATATAATAGGGCGCCGCACGTATGCCCGCCCCTATGGCCACCGATATCATCGACACCACCACTAGTCCTACTTTCAGAGCAAACATTTTTTGTCAAACCTATGGGAAGAGACAATTGATTTAATAATAATAACCACGGTTTATATACGGTTAGCTCCCCTACAGTGACTTTGTGTCTATTATTTATATCCTATTTGTTATCTATGGTATGGTTTCATAACATAAGGAAATGTACACTATATTTGGGCGCAAACAATATTGCAATACAAATAATGTACAGTATATTGTTTTTGGTATTAATTTAGCAATAAAAAAAATCATTTACTCATGATAACAAATTAAACAATACATGACAAATAAAAATATTTTTATGAAATGCTTACCGCTTGTGATTACCAAAGGGTTAATTGACACAAACAATACTAGCCGTGAAGTCTTAAAGACTTAACTATTTATACAATTTTTTATTATATAATTTATAATAAACAAGTGTTTGTGTCAAGCTCATTATTAATTGTTTTCTAGTTTTTTTTTGTAAATCTACGTTCATTTGATCTAAACTGAGCCTAGGAAAATTTTTAATTAATCTTGTAACACATTTATGTACCAATGTTAATGCAATTATGTAACTGAATGCAGCATAACTTATTATGCAATTTTAAAAATTAGTGAACTAGGCTAGTTTGTATTTTAAATTGTATTGTTTTAGTGACGTTAATTAAACCAAAATTATGTATCATTTTATTTCTACATATGGACTTTGATAATGGGTCACAATGTCTATGGTTTCAGCAATGGTTTGGTTCATTTATGCAATTTAATGTGAGTTTAACACGAGGTAAATCTGCCCAAACAGTATCTAACTATTGTCATGATAAAAAACAAGTGTTGTTTTTCATATGTGCCTGAATTTCTAGGAAAGTCTAGCTATCAATTCTGTTTTAATACAGACCCATAAATCAAAATATAGTGATTCATTAATTGATATAAGTAGAAATTATGAAATTTATTTTAAATGTGTTTTACTATATTTAAAAGTTTAAACAGTGTTAAAATATTTTGCAATTTTTAAGTATAAATATTCCAATAACAGTGTATTAAATATGATTTTATTTGAATTTTGTATTCAATAATGTGTGTGCAAGCATTCTGGACATTTATGGTAATTTTCTTATTAAGAATTTAGGCCTGAATATTGCTAATAGATTAAACAAAACAAATTATTTTATAATAAGTTTTACAATTGTAATAATATTTAATAATAAGTTGCGTATAAAATATGCGTAGTATGAAAGTTGGTAAATGTTTAACAAGTTATAATTTATAAATATAAAATAATTTTTTAAAATATAAAAATAGTATTATTTTAAAACTGTAATTTTGTACAATAATTGCTATTTGATTTAATTTCATTTAAGGGTATTAAATATTTTGGACAAATCTAGCCTTCCCGATTTTTTCTGTATTAAAATGTAATTTACTAATCATATAATACTGGTCAAATAAGTACGATAATATAAAGTTTTATTAAGCATATTATTAATTATTAATTAAAAACAGATTTTTGACATTTATTTTTATTTTATTTTCCAACACATGCTGTTTTATAACATTTATTTAATGTTAAACAAAATAATCTTCGCTTTTATATCACAATTCAACATTTAATAAATACCATTACAGTAACACCATGGCGATTATCATTATTGGGAAATACTGTATTTAGAAATTAGATTGATAGAAAATATTTAGCAACAAAAAAATGATTAGGTTTTAGTTTTAAAATGTCATTTTGATATCTGTTTAGTAATTAATGATTTAAAATTGCTAATAAATAATTTAATTATAAATAAAAAATTATTTAAACTAATTTGTTAAAATAAATCTTTTAATTTGTACATTAGATTGCAATTTAATTTTAAACATTAAATTTACAATTAATAAAACTCATTATAAAGTATACATTTAATTATTATTAAAACATTTAGCATTTAAAACAATGTGCAATATCTTTATAGACGAGAAAATTGTGATTAAATACTTACATATCATTTGCTATTAAAATCTCTTATCAAACAAAACAAATAAAACACATATTTTAGTCTCAATCATAGATTCAATATTTCTTAACGGAATTGAAAACAATTTCATTATAATTATTATACATTTAATTACAATTAAATGTCTCATTTTTTCCGTTATAAATAGTAAAGTTATATTTAAAAAACAATAACAAATTTACCATAAATAAATAATAACATAGTTAATCATGAATATCATAGCATATATTTTAATTGTGTTAAATGTGTTGGCAATATATGGGTGCGTCAATGCTGTGGACTATTCTCATACCAAACTCGTGGCGTGCGATACGTTGATAGCCGAGGATGTGGTCCAGTGTTTAAGGGATAATCTGCCACAAGACCTAGATGCTTCAAAAGTGATCGAGTATGGCTGCTGTATGATGTATCATAATCATCAGTGTACTGTCAAATCTGCCAAGGTAATTTTATTTAGGCCTACTGTAATTGTTTCATAAGTCATTTTTAGTAATTATTCACTACGGTGATATATATTTTTTGTGTATCAGTTGTTTTAGCTAGTATTATTTTAGCTAATAATTTATGTGTGATATTAACTAGTAGTTATTAATTATATTAATTTGATGATTGACCAGGTTAAATGTAGTCGTGAAGATTATTTGTTGAAGAAGAGTCAAGAAAACGAGAAACGAGATAATAGTTTTGAAGAGTGCAGAGAACACCAACAATGTAACAATGGATCCACTTATTTGTTTAGCAGTCTGTACTTAATTATCATGATTGTATTTTTACATTTAGTTAATTAATGAGCATTTAATCAAATGATTTTGTATTTTATTAAATTTTATAATAAATGTTTACTCAATATAATAAATATTTTAATTATCGTAAACTTAATTAATTTACGTGCATTATATTAATTAAGTTATCACTTATTATCTTAAGTGGGCGAACAATGGAAGTCTAATAAATGGGATTTTATTATAATAAGGTGCTTTTCATACCTTAAATAATCATTAATACCATATAGTAATTAATATAATAAATATAAAAATAAATGTTGATAACAGATATTTATAATGTGTATAGACACGAATCGGATGCACTGTTAGGTGCTTTTGCACAGAAAAAAAAACAAATTATTTCATTAAAAACATTAAAGTTGTGTTTAATAAAGCATTGAATCATTCAATGAATCAAACATTACTTGT